TTGTACCGCACTGAGGTCCGTGTCCTACCCATGTTCCACCCCCAAATCTCCAGGAGTTTTCCAACTTGGAGCTGGCATCCCTACCCACCCTTCCCCCTGGCAAACCTAGACAGGATGAGTGTTTGTAGTGAAGCTGTGAGAAGCTGGTGCCTTTTTCGTTTCATTTCAAGAACAGCACATTTGCTATGTCCACCAATTGCCAATTTGTTTCTTGATCTTTCTTACAGAAGACAGCAATAATCCCTACAGTAGCCCCATAATCCTAGCCTATGCAAAAAATACTAAGGCAGCTACCGGTTTAATGTCGAATTGTCCTAGTGGGCCTTTGGTCATATGGACACTTTTTCGAAGCTTAGCCTCGATGTTAGACAATGGTCACTTTTAAATAAGAATCAATTAATGAACAAGAGTCTAGGGTATAAAATGTAAAATGCCCTCTTGAAATATCTGCTAATTACCCTGTTGTTTCTGATGAAGCAACATGGCTCCTCACAACCACAAAACATGGGCACTCCCTCCTCAGATGTGTCATCTTGTTTTGGCAGACAGATACTTGGAGGTCAGTCAGAGGTGATCGGCTTTTTCTTCCCTGGCTTAAATTCACAACCAGTGTGACTTTCATCCCCACCCCCTAACAAACCAATCTAAAACAAAGCATCAGTTCTTCTTTGGAGGGGGGGGGGAATAACATGTACTAGAAGCGTGCAGAGAGGTGTCTTCTGAGAAGCAGATCATTCCCTTGTGTGGAAAGGCCATGCTAATTCAAGCCTAGGCACTCTTAAGAATAGAGGGTAAGAAAGCACAAACACAGCTGGCGAAAATTGTGGGGTGGTGGTGGTTTTGCATACTGCATTCCCCCCCACACACACACACTGCAGCAATATCACTGTGTTCCTTATCAGCACATCTCCCTCAATGGGTTGCAAAGCAGACTGTGGGAGGACGAGAGAAGCTCACAAAACATGTCAAGACTGTCAGCAAAGTAAATTATATCTATTGCCTGGTTTCTTCCCCAATTTGATTTCCTGACAGGAGTTTCCAGGGCAACTGTGAGCTCCAGTTTCAAGCTTTTTTCATCGAAGCTCAGGATGCAATTTCAGAGATGCTGGAGGATGGAAGGGACTTTTACAGGTCAACACGGGCGAAACCTGCTGCCTCAGATGCTGGTCTGCTAAGTTGCCTCCTGTCCCCCTTCGGCTGTTGTCTACTGAGTGGCAAGGCCGTCTGAAAGGCACAAGCATTGTTTGAGGCAGCAGTCCCAGTGGGGTGCTCCAGGATCTCTTGCAGTATCACAGAGAAAGCTACGACACCCCTCTTAGAACTGTGTGTGTGTGTGTGTGGGGGGGAAACGGTTTTGGGGTGGCAAGAGGTTGCTACTAGTTGTGCTTGTTCCATACAATGACAGCCAAAAATAGGTAACAAAGGTCACCTTTTGTACAAGTGCTGATTTATTTACAGTGCTCTAAATGCTTTTAGTTTTCTATCAGGCATAAAATCGCAAAGTGGCACTTCCTGTCCCCTGAGACTTACCAGAGATTTGGAAGCGATGAGGTATGGAAAGCCATTTTAATTTGGTTTTGCTTTTGGTGGTGAGAATGGAGCTTTTTTTTTTTGCTATGCTTAGCACTCACTGCTTTAAAAGATTAGACTGTATAGGATTTGAACTGTTATCATGAAAACTGATTATTTAAAACTTGTAATTTTTATTAGACATGTTGTTATTCTTGTTTCTAAATTACAACCCATGCCAAGCCACAGAGAATTGGCAGGATGGAAACATGTGTATAAAACAGTTTATTTTTTGCTCCTACCACTCATGCCTGACAAAAACCTCCTATGGTCTTCATTAGTCTGCCAAGGTTTTTTTCTAAGACAAAAAACCCATAACGGGGCCAACAAGAGTCACTTTTTTGCCTACTGTTTATAGGGAAACTAATGGAGAACTCAACACTTTGTGGATGTTTGTAGATTGTTGAGACATACAGTAAGGAGGTTTTAAATACAGCAGTGGGAGTAGAGTCAAATAAGGGTTTAACATGCTGGTTTATGCGCACGGTAGTTCAACCACATATCCAGGCAGACAGCCATCGTTTTAAAGATTTAGACCCTGCTGCGATGATTCTTCATGGCTTCAGGGACTGTATTGCTCACTAAACCTTCCCCTTCCATTTAAATAGAGCAGGCAATTCCCTAAGCACAAAGCAATGCTTTTGAGCAGCAGCCCTCTCAGTGAAAAGAATGGGGGAGCCTGCAGCTCCCAGAGACCTGTCGGTTTATTCCAGGGCACTTGAGATTCTATATTTAAATTGTCTACAGTTTAATTCTTGCTAAACTTCACTGTAAGCCAATGGTCTCTGAACTGCAGCTTGCCTTGCTTAAATGGTTCACTCTGATCTTACAGTTTTGGGACGGTAGCTGTGTTGGTCTGCAGTAGTGGATCCGGGTCCAGTAGCAACTTAGAGATCAACAAGATTTTTGGGGTATAAGCTTCTGGGAGTCTGATATCTGATGAAGGCAACTTTGACTCTCAAAAGTTTATGTCTGAAACACTTGCTGGTTTCCAAGGTGCTACTGGATTCAAATCTGATCTTACAGATCATACAAGGCTCAGAAGGCAAGAGAGACCACAAAATGTGGAACATCACCTCCAGGCTAGACTACTGTAACTTACTCTATGCTGGCCTGTCCTTGAGACTGACGTAGAAACTCCAGCTGATCAAGAATGAGGCGGGGTGAGTTGTGATGAGAACACCACGGATGGCCCATATACAACCTGTGCTGCGCCAGCTACACTGGCTCCCAGTGGAGTACTGAGTCAGGGTCAAGGTTTTGGTTTTGACCTTAAAGGCCTTGAGCGGTCTGGGGCCCACATATCTTTGGGACCGCCTCCTCTGGTATGTCCCCAGGAAAGCATTACGCTCTGCTGAGAACAACTTATTGGTGATCCCTGGCCTTAAAGATGTCCGGCTGTCCTTGACCAGAGCCTGGTGAAACTCTCTGCCAAATACCACCAGGGCCATGTGGGACTTAATGAAATTCTTCAGGGCCTGTAAGGCAGAGATGTTCCGCCAGGCTTTTGGTTGAGGATAGCAACAGTTTTCCATCACAGCTGGCACCCTCCCTTGCTCTCCCATCTTCTTCCCCTTCTGCCTCCTCTTTACCATGCCTACGATGTGGCAACACAGTGCAGAATGGGCTTAAGGACAGATTAGTAGCACTATCTTGACATTATTTTAATAATGCAATGAATGTTATTTATTAATTTTAACTTGCTCTGTTTGATGATTTAACTTTTGTTGTACATCACCCAGAGCCCTGTGCTTGCAGGGATTGGGCAATTCATAAATCTAAAGTATAAATAAATAAAGTATGAAAGCCACCAACATTATCTATAAGGTATGAACTCTAACAACACTACAGATGTTAGCTACATGTGGGGCACAAAGACAGGTTGTCTATGAAAGTAGCAGAATTTCCTCATCTGGAATATTTGAGTTGTGACTCCTACTAGGGATGGGCAGAAACCGGCTCACGAACTAAAGTTCATGATGAATTTTGGCTGGTTCCTCTTAAATTAAAAAACAACAAAACATTGATGTTCATGGCAGGTCAACTGGCATGAACTTTCCACGAACCTTCCATGGTTTGTAGCAGTTTGTGAATTGAAATATTTCCAGAAAGACTGTCTCTGCTTAGTCAAAATGTTTACCAACTTCAAAGACAGGGTGAGGTTCCCTGTGTGTTTGGTGTGTGTAGCTTGCAGGGGGTCCATATACTTTTGAATCTGTGCATGACCTTTTCCCCAAAAGGACTTTCCTGGGGGCATTTTGGGGGGCATAACTCAGACCTCCAAAGTCCAATCTGCACATAATTTGGAGGTAACATAGAGGAGCACCAGGGGGGGGGGGTCCCTGGTGAGTTTGATGTCTCTAGCTTGCACAGGGTCCGTTCTATGTACTCCTGAACCTGCACCTGTCATTTTCCCAGAAAGCACTTTCCTGGGGGCACCTTCTTTTTGGGGGGGCTGTAACTTGGACCCCATAAATCCAATCCTCCCCAAATTTGGGGAGCAGGTAGAGGAGAGTCCACTGAAGATCCCCTGTGAGTTTGGTGTCTCTAGCACACTGGGGGCTGTTCTACTGAATCATGAACCTCACAAACTGAACCAGTTTATTTGGCTCCTAAATGTTCATGACGGTTCATGGCTCACGAACTCAGCACACCACGAACCATGAACCGAAATGAATTGCATTTTCCAAGTTCGTGCCCATCCCTAACTTTTACACTAACACCAAATTCATTTTTAAATCTGCAATCATAGATGCATTCCTGGCTTGCCATCCCCAATCTGAAGGCAGTTCTGATGTGTAAAACAGAACATCTCAACATTTCTTCTCCTCTGTGCCTTTCACTTGCTGTCTGGTGGACTGCCAGGCACTGTTACAAGGCGGACTCATCCTGAGTTTTGAGGGACAGAAGTAAAACTTTGCAGATTTGGACTTTGTAGCAATCTGAGTGTATTGGATTATTTGTGCACCAAATTTCAGCAATGATGGAAGCTGAGTAAGAGCTTTCATATCCTTTACCACTGAGTGAACAGTGCCCAGGTGTCTATACAGATGTCTGGAGACTAATGCTCTGTCAATAGCAAGACTTTTAAGTGGTTAGTAAGCAATTGTGCTGCTTCATACATCTGGATTTGCATGGGATACTTCACATGCAAGGAAGGTCATTAAATGACAAACTGGTCAATAAACATATATTGTAAAGCTTGTATGTACATACCAATCTCCTCTAATGTGAACAGAAGGTTAGTATGGAAAGGTTAATTTGTTACAGTAAAAGGCTGATGCTGTACATTAATCTGAACTATTCATTTAGTAATCACCCCATCTGTATGCCACAAGCAACATAACAACACGGTTGTAGCAGCCCCATATTTTGAGCATGACTGAACAGAATTCTGCCTTCACTGCCACAGTTTTATTTGACACACATACCCAGTACAGGACATCTGTCCAGCCCTCCATGGTGATGCACTGAAACACAGTTAACATGGCAAAGGCAAAGTTGTCAAAGTTGGTAATGCCGTGCTTAGGTCCTTCCCATCCTGCTCTGCATTCGGTGCCATTCTGACATTGCCGCCCATGTGCTAAGTGAGGCGCACAAGGAGAGGGATCCTCTTCTGCCGGTGTGTCTTAAACAAGAAGGGGGTAAGAGAGAGAGAGAGGACAATAGCCTTATTAAAGCCTGTACAACTGAGACAATGAAATATTTGCTCGCAGTGACACACTATCAGAAGTCATTAATTTTTAATTATTCAGCTATTTGACTATCCCATTAACATTCCCTAATGGAAAAGTGGTACATACATTGTTCCCGGGAGATCCCTTAGTACTGCTAAGGGCCAGCCCTGCTTAGCTTCAACAGTTAGATCATATCACTTGATATCAGATCATTTTCAGGTGTAATTATACTAGCTAAAGTTATATTAGGAAGATGTTCTGTTCCTAAATACGGTGACATTTCAACTATTGGCAATTAAATTTATAGAATCGTGTTTTATAAAAATGTCCCACAGTGCAAGAACTGAGGGGAGGGAGGCTGTATGCATTTAAATTGACAGCAAATATCATAATCATCTATGTAGCACCTTCCATGTTCTTGGTACTCTATAAAATACAAACTGCATTTCCAAGAAGAGTTATGCCCTTCTAAAACTATCTTTTGATTTCAATTGGCTTAGAGAAGTGTAACCCTGCTTAAGATTGCCCACACAAGAATGTCCCTGCCCTGAAGGTCTTACAATTTCAAATCTGACTCAAGAGAGACAACAAAGACATGGGAAAGAAATGGAGAATGGGATAAACAGGGGAAGAATATGCAATAATTCCAGTCATAACATTCAATTTAACACTGTCAATGTCAATTTGAATATTATAGAAGAAAGGAGGCTTAGAATCTGCTAAAGGAGGCAAAGATATCGGTTGCCAATAAATGACATAAAACTGTAGACTATGTAGAATCTGAAAATTGCTCATAAAACTCATGGGCATGAACCTTGACAATGCGGTTCAGTTCGTGGTTTGTGGCTGAACCATGAACCGAACCTCGGAGCCATTTAAACCAAATAGCTGAGTGGTTGGGAGCTCCCAGCCACTCATCTGTTTCTCCTGAAGAGCATAAAGAAGCAGTAACCCCTGCCTTTTGCTCTTCACAAACCACCATGAGCCACCACAAATTGCACCAAAATTCGTGGTAGTTCATCCTGGTTCTTCAGTTCATGAACTCCAGTTTGCGAACCCTGAACAGGCCAAAGTTCATGATGAACTTTGGTTCATCAGCCTGTTCGTGCCCATCCCTATATATAAGTAAGAAAAGCAAAAACAAAAACAAAGAAGCTGCACAGTCAAACTTTAGCACTTCTAGCTCCTATATATTTCACCTGAGTTGAAATGGAATGATTGCCATGAATGGAAAGCAATGAATGGAAATGAATGGAAAGAACTGCTCAACTTTGGCAGGATCATGTCCCAAGAATACCAAAAGCCACAGGTTACCTTTAATACATTATGGAAAGATAGCAGTTATTGGGATATAAATAGTAAAGATTTTCTCATAATAAATACTGATTAAACTTGGGAAACTTATATACTACTACTTCAATCTTGTACTCAGATTGAATACAGATAATGACATACAAGACCCTACAGCTGTTAGGTCCGAAATATCATGTGCTGTAAAAGGAAACAACTCACAGATCAACCTATGCAATCTAAAACACAAAGTGCCACAAGCAAAAAGCATGTAAGACTGTACAAAATACATGAACACAGAGATAGATCAAGATGGGTAGCTATGTCCGTCTGTAGCAGTAGAAAAAAGCAAGAGTCCAGTAGCACCTTAAAGACAAACAAAATATGTGGCAGGGTAGGAACTTTCATGAATCACTGCTCACTTCTTCAGATATAGCTAGAATGAGAGTCCATCTATATATTGGAAAGAGGAGTGATTTCAGATGCTGAATGACATTGGCAGGCAAATGAAAATATCAGGTGAATGACAATAGCAGGTGTGATTGGATTAGGTGTGATATGCAGAGGGGTAGTGGGCGTGGAGAAATCAGCATTGCTAATAAGACAGGAAACCTAGGTCTTGATTCGGTCCAGGTCAATGCATCGGGAACCTTCTACATGCCACACAGATGTTCTACCACTGACCCATGCCCCTGTAGACAGGCAAATACTTTCAGGTATTGCCGATGAGTCACACTGCATGCTACAGGGGGATGACAAAAGCCTCTAAAAGTCAGCAGCAATTTGACAGGCAAAAAAAAAAAATTCTCCCCAAATATGATGATCAGATTTTAAGCTATAAACAAAGCCTACTTCATGGGAAGTTTCCTAAAAATTGTATTTTTAGAATTCAATTGAACACCAGTGGATATCTTGTTTTTAGATGGCCTTGAGAAGCAGCAACACCACTAGAGTCCAGCCACATTAATTGTTTATTGTATGAAAAAATATTTCTTTATGTCTGTCTTGAAGTCGATGGGCGGAATTTTCAGGACTAAGATGTTTCCATACAATGGATAGTTAATGTAAGGTGCTACTGTACTTGCATCTTAATGTACTGAAAATATAATCAGGACTACTGGCTTAGATGGCTTTACAAGGAGATTAGTCAAATTCATGGATGATACGAGACATCCATCAAATGGCTACCAGTCATGATGGTGACTAAATGCTCAGAGGCCATGTGCCTCTAAACATCAGTTGCAGGGAGAGAAGCACTGGGCTATTGCCTTCTCATGCTGCTTATTGGCTTCCCAAAGACATCTGATAAGCCACTGTGGAAATTATCATGCTCTACTATTTTCAGACTTTTGGTCTGATTGTGGCCCTGAAATAGGTTAGAACAGATTATTTACATGTTTACTGCATATATTTAAATGAGTTCATGCGTAGTATTATTGTACTCATCTGTACCACAGGCTTAAAAGCAGGTTTAATGGTTTTCTAGGTGATGACAGAACCTGGCAAACTACAGCTCTGTTAAAGGAACTTGGGGCTAGCCATGACAGTTAAAGCAGTATACAACATATGTAGGCTGTTAGGCAAACACATATGGCAGTAATTACTATACTGATTTCAAGAGTTTGCTTTAGGAACTTGAATTCTGCATTCCAGTGAATCAATAATCTGAATTAACTGATACAGTTCTAATAAAATCCCCTATTGTGGTTTTGCCTGATGCTTTGTTCTTTTTGGGAAACTCCTAATCCTGGAGGATTATGAGATTCATCCTCAGTAAACACAGAATTTACATGCAGCATTGGGATAACACTGCAGTGTTCCTTTACAAACTTATTCTGTTTTACTTTAAAACAGGTTTTTTGTGTGTATCTACATATCTCTGTCTGTCTGTCTGTCTGTCTGTGTATCATCTCTCTCTCTCTCTTAACTGTCTACCTTGCCTTTCAAAATAAATGTCCAAAACTAATTACAAAAAATTGTTGTTTTAGTTTATAATGATCTAACTGCTATTTAGTGTTTGCCTATGTATTTTATGTCTATGTATATTATGCTTGTATACCAACACAGGATCATGTGGTTAAGTAGCAGCAAAGAAACTGTGAAAGAAAGAAAGAAAGAAAGAAAGAAAGAAAGAAAGAAAGAAAGAAAGAAAGAAAGAAAGAAAGAAAGAAAGAAAGAAAGAAATTAGCCACAAGGTATAAATAGGAACTCTCAGTCTGGGGCAAGTGATGCTCTGTATTCTTGGTGCTTGGGGGGGGGGAAGCAACAGTGGGAGGGCTTCTAGTGTCCTGGCCCCACTGCTGGACCTCCTGATGGCACCTGGTATTTCTGACCACTGTGTGACAGAGTGTTGGAGTAGATGGGCCATTGGCCTGATCATTGACTTCTGTGATGTTCTGAGGAAGGAAGGAAGGAAGGAAGGAAGGAAGGAAGGAAGGAAGGAAGGAAGGAAGGAAGGAAGGAAGGAAATTCAAGTGAAAAATATTAAAACATAAAGAAAAATTTAAAAAACAGCAATTAAATCCTAAAAACATTTCAATTTAAAATAATATTTTTCTGGAAATCTATCCAAATAAAATATAATTTCCTAGATAATGAAAATGCATCCTAAGTATATTCCATATAGGCCCACATACCCACACAAGTGTGTGTGTGTGTGTGTGTGTATTAAGTGCTGTCAAGGCGCTTCTGACTTATGGTGACCCTATGAATTAATGTCTTCCAAAATGTCCTATCTTTTTATGTGTCTGTATATGCCAAGCATTTCCTAGGGGGTTTAGATCCTCACTCTGCCGTGGAAGCTTGCATGGCTGTTGCGAGAACAAAAGAGAGGAGGGAAGAACAATGTGAGCTGCTCTGAGACCCCACTGGGGAGAAAGGTCAGGTATAAATGAAGTAAACAAACAAATAAATACAATTATTAGTATTAATTATTAATAGAGCAATATTGTCAGTGGGACAGTGTAGGCCTGGAATAATAAAAGCTGATAAAGCTGAGAGCCGTGTCACAGAGAGACTACCAGCGACGTAATCAGGAAGACTGGCCTAATGGCCAATAGGGCCAAGACTGGAGTAAGGGTTTAAGTGGTACAGTGATTGTGGTCCGAGATGGACCATATACGCACTATGCTATAAGCACATTTTCTGTGAAGAGAAAACTTCAGAGAGAAAGGCAAGGTTGATGGTCCTGGATCTGCAAAGGTTCACAGTAAAAAACAAAAACAAAACTATTGGCAGTGCCCAGAAAAGCCATTCATCTTCTCTTACAGGTAAACATAGTGCTCTTTTGAGCACATAAAGTATTGGTTCTTTCCGAACCATTAAAAAAATAAGGAACACATAGTATGAAATTCAGGCTGATTAAAGTCAGTGACAAAACTTTAACTGACTTTACAATGTGGTCAAGGTTTCACACTTGGGTACTCCCATGAATCACACTTTTAATTAATCTTAAATCTTCCTGACCTAGTTTGTACTGCTGGTCTGGGCGGTTGACTATTTCCCCTGACTGATGAGAGCTTGCAGCTCAGATGCTCCATTTAATGCAAGTCAATGACCAGCATTTCAGTGAACGCGAGATTAATTTTGATTGCCACATTTCTTTGGTGGTGTCCTGGTGCAAAGGGTTAGGCTCTTAGTTGGGCATGGGGATACTGGAAAGTTCAAGTACAATTTTACTACATTTTCCAAAACAGGCGGAAGAGAACAGGATCCAGTGTCAACTTCCTCTTTTATATTCCTCTGTCATGCAAGCAGAACAGGGTCACATCCATTAGTAGCCAGCATTTCCTCGGGCTCTGTTGACACTTGGATCATGTAAAGTAAATATTACAGTGCAAAGGGGTGGATGAAAGAATGACGGTCCCAGTGGACCTATTCGATAGTTCCTTTTCCTGCCAAGCACGATGTAAAATTCTGTTATACAAGCTTCTACTTGACCAAAGTAGTTGCAGCTCTTAAGATAGTATTATAGCTAGATTAGAAACTAACTCCTGTATTGAGGAAATCTTTATGAAAATTTACAACGGAGAAATTTGGTGGACAGTACTAACAGCACAGGACATCTGTGGTTCTTAGCACTGTGGGCCCTTGTTCAGACTAGCGAACTACTGACAAAGTCAATACCATTTTCCTACAGCAAGTGATGACCTCGGCACTTCAATTCTGCTAATGGAAACAGTCAGCAACAGGAAAATGCTACACACCACCCAGTGACTGACATCTACCACTATGCTGGTCAAAACAGGGTGCTGAGGATGAGGTAGAGAGGAAGGAGAGAATACTTTTGCTGACTGTTTTATCCTTTTATGAATAAGAAATTCCTTCTGGAGCACTAGACAGGATTCTGTCCTTTACTCCCTTCCATCTTGTCTCTTCATATTACAAAAGTGATAGAATATGAAAGTCTAAAAGCCCCAAACTTCCATTAGCACTATAGAAACCTTGCCTACCTGCTTCGGTCCCTGGGTAAGTAAGGAAAAGGGCCTTCATTTTGAGCTCCCTGTTTTGAGGAAGGCAAATTAATCTTTAATTCCTGAGGGTGTGTGTGTGTGTTTGTAGATAGATAGACAGACAGACCCTTTGTCCTCCATCTCCATTCTTACATAACATTGCACTGGTCTTATCTATTTACTTCATTATTACCCTGCTTTTTTCCCCAATGGAGGTCATGTCGTTCTCCTCTCTTCCATTTTATCCTCACAACAACCCTGTGAGGTAGGCTAGGCTGACAATGTGTGACTGGTCAAAGGTCCCCCAAGCAAGCTTCCATGGCAGAATGGAAATTCGAACCTGGGTCTCCCAGATCCTAGTCTGACACTCAAACCACTATACTATACCAGAACTCAGTCAATCTTTTCTCTTTCTTAAAAAAATGTAAAAAACTAAAAATGTAACAACGTAAAAACTATAATGTACAGAGATAAGCTCTTATTAAAAACACCGTCTGAATTCCATTTCTTCCACTTCAGGCTTCCTGCTAGAGAGCATGGGAAAGCCTAATTGTTCGCATTCTGTCTGCTTCCATAAGCCTAACAGTGAAGTTCAATTGATGTATAGTTGCTTAGCCATTGGTATTCCTTTATTTACAAGGTTACATTCCATTTGGCTGCTTTTGCTTTTCTTTAAACTCTGAAGAATCAGAATTTGAGGGGGGGGATTATGAGAGCTATAAAAGGCATGAATAAAGAAACAATCCTGTTTCAGGCAATGAACAAAATAGTAAAATAAAATGAATAAAGAATAGGCTATTGTGAAGAAGTTGTAAACTGGCATTCTCAGAGCAATTTATTTCCTTTTCAGCCATTCTCCTTTGGCTTTTCAATTTGCACAATGTGCTTATGATCATGGACTACTATCTCAACTTGTTGTGATGCATAAGGAAACAGGTATGGATTATAGCCTTCTCCGATAGCCTCTTGTCCTAGCCGTTCTAATGCTAGTAAAGAAATCCGAATAAAAGACATACACAGCATTAGACACAACAGAGCATATGTTACTCTCACCAAGCAAGCAACTTGCAAAACCAGTAGCTCTCTCCAGTGCTACTAGGGGAAGGAGAGATAACAGGAGCCAGTAAGACCCCATGCTGCCCAATTGGACATAAAAAGATCTAGGCATTTCCCTACCAGTCAATGCCAGATTAATTTAGGGAGGGGGCTGTGGCTCAGTGGTAGAGCATCTGCTTGGCATGCAAAAAGTCCCAGGTTCAATCCCTGGTATCTCCAGTTAAAAGATCTGGCAGGAGGTGATGTGAAAGACCTCCAACTGAGACCCTGGAGAGCCACTGCTAGCTTGAGTAGACAATACTGACTTTGATGGACCAAGGGTCTGATTCAGTATAAGGCAGCTTCATGTAGTTCTGTGTGTTCAATTTCCTCCATGTTTTTGAGGCTTGCCATTTCCAAAGGTAGTAGTTTTTTCCTTCTGACTTCTTTTAACATCTGCTGTTTTGTGGTCCTGTCCACACGAGGTGATTTGGGCCAGTTGCGGGACAGTTCGGGGGCGGATCAAACCAGTGCGATCACACCACAACATCTGGGAAGCGTGGTGCTTCCGTCCCCGAACTGGCCCTTCCCCGCTCAAATCCGCTTCAAGTTGAAACCACCTACCTTGGTGGTTCAACTTGAAGCCGCGCTTCTAGCCGGGCGTTTGATCGCCAGTGCCTCCTTGCGCCGGCACAACCCCGGCCCGGAGCCGAACTGCGCATGCTCCGACATGCGCAGTTCGACCGGCTCCCGATTAGGGCCATGTTTTCTCCCCGGCGTTTGATCGCGCCGGGGAAAAAAGGCGCCGCGGCCAGGGGATCCGTGGGATCCCGCCGCGGCGTCTCAACGTTGGCGCGGCTTTTAAAAGCCGCGCCTTAAGAGGCTTTTCCCCTGCCATGTGGCAGGGGCCTGTTGAAGGGTTTTTTAAATTCTGAAGCAGTTGTATAAACACTATGGGTTGCTGCCTTCTTTTGGGGGCTTTTTAAAGAAAATACTTCACTCTTCCCCTCTGTTAGTGTCCTTCTCTGCTGTGAGATTCCAGCCAGGAACTGTATAGGCCAGGTAAGGATAAGAGATTCAAGAGAGCTGCAGGCATGTCTCTTTTCTTTTCCCAGCCAAGGGAAAGTAAGATCCACTGGATCATAACTTTCATTACCTATATCCCAGGCTGGTAATGGAAAGGTCAGATGTAGTCCAGGACAAGATGGGTCTTTGTCTGTCTGTAGCAGTAGAAAAGAGCAAGAGTCCAGTAGCACCTTAAAAACTAACAAAAGTTGTCGCAGGGTAGGCGCTTTCGTGTGGGGCCGCTCTATTCAGATATGAAGTAAACAGAGACTCATGAAAGCTCATACCCCATCACAAATTTTGTTAGTCTTTAAGGTGCTACTGGACTCTTGCTCTTTTCTACTTCAGGTATCTGAAGAAGTGAGCAGTGACTCACAAAAACTCATACCCCGCCACAGATTTTGTTAGTCTTTAAGGTGCAACTGGACTCTTGCTCTTTTCTACTGCTATAGTTCAGGACTTCAGCCTGGATGAATGGGTTGATCTTTTGCATGCATTAGCAAGACTTGACTCAATGAGCAGGAAGGTGTTGATTATATTACACCAATATTCAACAGGTTTCTTGATGAAGCAGTAGATCAGACCCAGTGGCTGGTGGAGAGTGGAGTTTCTATGCAGATTCAGTTCTCCTTACGAGGCACCCTGTTCTATATGATCCACATGTTAAGGTTTTGTACCTGCTGCTGGAATCTCACAACAAAACTGGGAATCTGTTGGTTGCCTAACAGTCCTCTAACAGACTGCCTAACAGCCTGCATGCCTGAGCAGACCAAGCTGGTCTCAGTAATGCTCGCTATCAGGAGCAGCTCAGGACCTCATGAGCAATGTTCCCTCTAAGCTGTCGAGTCTTGTGAGCAGAAATTCTACCTTGTGAGCTACCGGCATTAAAATTGTGAGCAAGCAATATGACTACTGCATAAATTAGTTTGCTCTGTAGCCATCCTTCCTGAGCTAAGACAAAAATGTGTGAGCCAGAGGCTAAAAAAATGTGAGCTAACTCACACTAACTCAGCTTAGAGGGAACACTGCTCATGAGCCATCATAACTATGATGTGACTGGCTCAAGTAATATCTGGTCCTACATATATAGCTGGCCATACCCTATACATATATAGCTGTCTAATCTGGTTGCAGAGAAAATTAATAGAACTCTGTTGTCACAGCCAGAACTCTACAATAGGCTAGAAGGGAGATAAGAAAACTCTGTTGTGCAGCCCTTCACTCAATCTGCCCCATGGAGTTGGACAAATGGCTCCCCTTCCAATTATAGTTTATATGCTAGAACACTTGTGGAGATTATAGCACTGGTCTATAGAACAAAGTTTGAGTCCAGGAGCACCTTTAAGACCAGCAACGTTTAATTCTGGGCATAAGCTTTTGTGTGCATGCACACAATGTATCTGACGCAGTGTGCATGCACACGGAAGCTTATGCCCAGAATTCAACGTTGTTGGTCTTAAAGGCGCAGCTGGACTCAAACTTTGTTCTGTTGCTTCAGACCAACACGGCTGTCCACCTGAATCTAGCACTGGCCTACGTTAAGGAAGGCAGTGCTATGGAGGTTACATAATGAGTAGAACTTTCCAGTGTTAGAGCTTTTGGCTCCCAGTTCTGGATAGGTTCTTCAGCAAGCAAAATGTGTTAGGTGATGATTACAAGAGCTATCACATTTGGAAGCATTACTTTTAGAGCAAAATACATTTACAATCTACTTTCCACTGACACCAGGCTGCAAAACGTGAACTAATACACGGCGCCTATACATGTAACTTACCTGTTACCCCTAACAAGTAGCAAGTCTTGTGCATCTTCCCCATGAAGAGCTCGAGTCCAATGATGGCATAGATAATTATGACAAACAGCACCAGCAGGGCAATGTGCAGCAAAGGGACCATGGCCTTGATAATGGAATTTAAAACCACCTGAAGGCCTGAAATGAGAAAGGCAACAAGAGGTTGAAATTGAATTACCTACCGGACAGCAAGCGTGAACGGCAAATGCTTTTGATATGTCTTTGGTATTTGAGTCTGATACCGCAAGCATTTCTCCTTTTCAATAAAACGATGCCTGTATGGCTTTACTATTAGAACCTGGCCTGCAAATTCAACCTATATGTAAAGAAGTCTTCTACCATAACAGGCCCCCAGACCCACAACTTGCCCAGTTCCAGATGGTACAACTGGTGTTGGTATGGCAGGCCACAGCAGGCTGGCAAGGGGGCATTACTCTACTTTACCAGACCGGAGCAGAAAAAGGATGCAACAGTGACTCCCAGTGGGGTTCTTTATTTGTTCTTCGGGTGGATGCAATATAACCCTTTATACTCCTGTGGGAGGAAGAGTTTTCTCACTCCTCCTTATCTGCCAGCCTCAGACTACACCTGCTGGCAGTCCTTTTTAGTCTCTTTCCAACATGCATTGTCCACCCCATTGTTCTGGCCCCAGCCGGGTTGCCCTTTGGCCCCGCTGCCCTGGGCCTTACCTCCCAAGGTGCTTGCCACTTCAAGCACTCTTAATGCCAACCAGCCTCATCCTAGCCAAACACACCCAACCAGTTTCCTTGGTAGGCAAGCCTACTGGCTTCTCTCAGACAGCCCAATCGGTCCTGACATCCCCTTCATTACCTCTGCCAGAAAAGATGCCATAGGGGTTGATCCCCACTTTCCTGCCTGGAATCCAACACATAGGACTGTGTCAGAAGTCCCACAGAAGACTTGAACAGGTAACTCAGAGGTTTCAGCCTGTGCATTACCAAACAGCCATGGGTATCAACAGTAACCACAGATGGTGCTTGGGCAGGGGCAACAGTGGGAGGGCTTCTAGCGTCCTGGCCCCACTGGTGGACCTCCTGATGGCACCAGGTATTTTTGGCCACTGTGTGACAGAGCGTTGGACTGGATGGACCACTGGCCTGATCCAACATTGGCTTCTCTTATGTTCTTATGTCTCCTTGTACCAATAGTCAGTACCGTGATACTTCCTGATCCTTATAAAAGCTTCTGGGTCCAGCTTGGTTGCTGGTCTAAACAACAAGTACAGTCTGTTTTTTGCTAGCAGCATGTCTCTGTTGAGTTCCTCCTGCTGCCCACAATTACAAAAGGGCAAGGTCTGAGATTGCTTACGATGATAGGTTCTTGTAAGTACGTTTTATGAAGTAAGTTTTTTGTTTGGACATTGCAAAAGGGACCATATCGCTGGTTAATTGAAAAAAACAATCTATTCTGGAACACAACACAGACACTGCTTTTGCTAGTTCCAGAAAACTACCTTTAAAGTGCTCCTTTGGGGGTAAATCTGCTTTACAGAATGCGCAAAGCTACCGTAAATGCACTCATGTTTGCAAAAGTTATAAACAGCCACAGATGGAAGAACTTTTGCAATAAACATTGCATTATTATGTCATTAGGGCAGGGAATGCTATGAGAGGCATCAATTGAAGCTCCTAGTAGGCTCAGAAGTGGCCAATAATCACAAGCTCCCTTTCTCTGAAGCTTTTTTCTGCAGCTTTTGGGCAAGAACTGACTGCCCTCAATGACTTCAACTTCCCGTCCGAAATAGGGTTGCCAGACCCCCCGGACTGGCGGGGGTTACCCACTTTTGGGGGGTTCAACCCACCGCAGGCCAGCTGGCCAGTGGGGGAAGCCTCGCCCCCAAGCTCCAAAACCCGCAGCCACCCCTCTCCCTTCTCTCTTGAGAGAGAGGGAAAGGGGCGGCTGTGGGTCCTGTGCCCAATCTCCAAGCAGCATTGCCGCTTGGAGATCGGGCACGAGGGGCCCTCCAGCTGCCAGCACTTAAAGGGTTTCCTTTAAGTGCAGGCAGCCGGGGCGAAAGGGCCCCGTGCGCCCGATCTCCACTATATAATTTTTGGTCTGATCTACCCACTCACATCTTCTACATGTCTGACCTGATTCAGGTGAGCAGCCATGTTGGTCTGAAGCAGCAAAACAAAGTCTGAGTCCAGTGGTACCTTTAAGACCAACAAAGGTTTATTTGGGGTATACCCAGAATAAAACTTTGTTGGTCTTAAAGGTGCCACTGGACTCAAACTTTGTTAGGTTTGACATGATCATGCTAAGATAGAGGATTTATCTATCTAAATATGTATGGCCTTTTGTATGACTTTTGCCATCATACAAAACAGGCCTAAAAGCAAATTTTTAATTCTTAAACAGATTGGCATATTTTAAAACAGGTCCTGTCAAAATCTGGTCGACCTGTGGAATACAGAGGTGATGCAGGCAGTGGACACAATTGCTTTGGAACATCCTCTCCCCTCCCACAGATACCAGAATCTCCCATGGCTCGCCAAGGGGCTAAGGGAATGAAACAGCTTGGCAGTGCAAGTGGAGAAAACCTGAAGCGAATGCAACATAATACCAGGGAGAGAGCATTATCATCATGCCTTATCAGTCACGGTGATGGAGGTGAAGTGAGCTCACTTTTCTGCCACCATTGTGTCTATCCAACACCATCTGGCGGAGCATTTTTGGGTTGTGAAGGGGTTTATATCGGGCCCCTTAAGATATAAGAATCAGAAAAGATGTAGGCTTGCTGTGACTCTTTTGTACAGCATTTTATGGACAAAATTGCTTGCATTCACTGCAACTCAGATGTCGTGGATGGTTCAAGTACAATCATTTTGAAAGCCATTTAAGCCTGAGGGCTGTTTTATGGTTTGTTTTAATGTCTACTGTTTTTAGAGGGCTTTTTTTGGTATACTTTTACCTTGTGAGCCTCCTCTATTGTGCATTTTTACAATGTGAGCTGTCTCTGTAGATGTGGCATATATGTAATATATATATACATAAATCACACACTGTTTAAAGAACTGGTGTGACAAGGGGGCCTCTGAGGGACAGGAAGGGAGAACAGGGTGGAGGTAGGGGTGTGGAAAAAAATCTTTATTTTTTGGGGTCCTGGTACATTGAACCCAAAAAATATTGGTATTTGCAGATATTCCTGAATCCCAATACTAATATGGTATTTGGATTCAGGATTTTTCAGAAATCCCAATTTTTCCAGCTCCATTATATCCTATGGGGATCATTATAGTCAATGGTCCCATCTCCCTTATAACTAAAAGCCGAATGGTGGTGGCACTTCTCTAGAGCATTCCACACGCTCCAAAATCAGTTCGCTCCCGTCTGTCATTCAGAGGGTCTCCCTATCCACTGGCTGCTTTGCCTGAGTCCTGCCTCCAACATTCTAAACATTTTGCTGTTCCTCTCCCCCCCATCGCCAGTCAGAACACAGAGGTTATTTGCATATGCAGTCTCATTGGCCTTTGCCTCGGAACACAGAGGTTGTTTGCATATGCGACTTGATTGGCTTTTGCCTCTAACATTCTAAACAGTTTGCTGTTCTGAGGTAAATTGTGTCCAAACTCCAGGTGAGGGCAGGAGATCACTCAGAATTACAACTGCTTTCCAGATGGCAGAGATCAGTTCCCCTGGAGAAAATAGTGGGCTCTGTATCCTTATATACTGCTAAGGTGGCCCCCATATGACAGCCAATGTGACGTAGCAGTCAGGGCTTCAGAGCACAGGAGAGGCTGCAGGTGTGTGGGGGTTGGAAAGCTGAAGAGTGAGGGGGAAATAAAGGTAGGCTGATGATTGGCTGGGAAGGAGATAGGCTTGCCAACTCCAGGTGGGAAATTCCTGGAGATGCGAGGGATGGAGCCTGGAGAGGGTGAGGTTTCAGGAGGCGTGGGACCTCGGACAGGTACAAAGCCATAGACTCCACCCTCCAAACCAACCATTCCCTTCTGGGAAACCATCGTTACCAATCTCCAGGTGAGGGCTGGAGCTCACTCAAAATTACAACTGTACTTTAGGTAGCAGAGATCAGTTCCTCTGAAGAAAATGGTGGACTCAGTGTCATTATACCCTGCTGAGGTCGCCACAGCAAATTGACACTGAGTGTCCAAGGCCAGGGCACCCGGCCAGAGCCTCTTTATTTATTTCCACAACAGGCCTTTTCCCTAGTAGGGTATAATGGGGAATTGATCTGAAGGTATCTGGGCTGGGGAGGGGCTGTTTTTTGAGGTAGAGGCACTAAATTTACAGCACAGCTGCTGGTGCCTCTCCTCAACCCCCTCCCCCAAGTTTTAAAAAATATTGGACCAGGGGTCCAATTCTATGGCCCTCCAAAGATGCTGCCCCATCCTCTATTCGTTTCTATGGTGGGGAAGGCTTTTACCAGCCTTCTTCACCGCAAGGTCTCCTGATGCCCCTGGCTGCCTCAGCTGTGCTCTGTTGTCAGCCCTTAGAATGAAGTCTACCACTGCCACTAGATTCACTGCTTTTAGAGCACATACACTATCATCTCTCACTTCCTTATCTTCCTAGTCCTGCCTATAAATCTACATCTTTTGCAGTGGCCTTCCTTTAACTCTCCCTCTTGTGATGTTAATACTGGGTAATGTAATGGAACTAGTGCCTGACTTCATTGTATTGCAATGTGCACACAAATGCCTCCACTTGTGATCTTCACCAGCCCTTCCATCTCCCTCACCCTTTTCCACCATCTTTGTTTCATTTATTTATTTATGGATTTTTTTACCCTATCTTTCTGCCCCCACAGGGTCACCATGCACCTAAGAAATTAAAATATTCACATTAAAATATTATCTGAAAAGCCATTAAAACCCACACACAAATGCATCTTTATCACAAGTTAAACCCAAGTTACAAAGCTTAAAGTAAGTACAAAAGATAAAAACAACAGTTAAAATACTGGGGAGAACAGAGGGATTATGTTGCTGTTTCGACTGGAAGCCCCTCAGACTAGGACCTCCTACCCACCCATGTGGTGTATTATGATGAGTAAAGCCAAAAAAGACCCATCAATTTAATAATTTTACTGCTTGATACAATGCCATATGGCATTACGAACTGATTCCTGTCATTTGCCCAGCTGTAGTGTGAAAAAT